CTGAAGAGATGCTGAAAAGTTTTAAATTTCTTTAACATTCTTAACCCAAAAAATGTATTTCAAAATAAAATAAAAACGCTTTTCTAAATGTGTTTCACGAAAACATTAAATATATAACAGTATTAATTATAAAATATTAATAATTATAAATTATTCTATAGATCTGTAGACATCAATACATCACAGAATACTAATAGAAACCTATTGTATAAGAATTAAAAAAACAAACAAAAACTGCAGAAAGCATTGCAAACATTGCAAGCAATGGTATTAAGAATGCATTAAGACTTACGTATGAGAAGATTGCTTATAAGAGTGGCCGGAAGACAGAATAGGAGCACAAGTATGTCAGCGAAGGCTAGGTTTACAATGAAAAAGTTGGTCACTGTTCGCATTCTTGGCGTTTGGATCACAACCACAACAACAAAACAATTGCCAACAATTCCTAGTATGAAAACTACGGTATAAGCCATACATAGGACTATGGAGACACTGGACGAGTGCCGAAACCATAGCTCTTCAGACCAGTCGAACCTCTCTTGAAATTCGTGGTCAGATGTGTTGAACCGATTGTCGGCATCTAATTCACCACTACTTGTATAGTCACTCAAATTCAACATTTCTATAGACTTTACTAAAAGACTCAAACTTTTATTTAGCCATTCATTTGTCTGCGAACTCATTGTTAGTGAAATTCTTTAACAATTCTTATACAGAATTTCAAGTGTTTAGAAGTGACATAAAAGTCGTGCTTACATTATCATAGGCTAAGACTTACTGTTCAGATCAAACGGTGACAAACATTTTGAGGGACTAAAGAGTGGTCGCAAACGGAGAGCGAGAAACAGTCAGACAGAGAGTGAGAGAGTGAGAGCGCGAGTGGTGTGGAGTGAATGCCTCCAAAAGACGGGTTCGTTATCTCAGAAGAGAGTATGAGATGCAATGGTTAGCATTGGGAGCACTAAATAGATGAGACAGAATTGGAGAGCAGGAGAGAGGACTGAGAGCATGCAAAGTGATGCGAGAGAGAGAGAGAGAGAGAGAGAGAGAGAGAGAGAGAGAGAATGTGTGCGCGAAATGTGCCGATTCTGTGGTGCTTTCCTTCCCATCAATTTAACACTACATTAAAAATTATTTCAACGATTAGAACAACTTTTTGCTCCAATTGTTGACACATTTGCCACAATTTATAGCCCTATTCTATACGCTATTCCCTATTATATGAACATTGAATTCAATCAAAAATCAATTGCATTATAAAAGTGGGCGAAATATGTATAGCAATGCAATAGCGCTAACACTCTATGTGTTAAGTCTTAATCAAACAGTAATTTCAACAAAAGTAAAGTTGAAAATTATTAAACAATGTTTGAAAGCAAAGGTTAAGTTAACTGCAATTTGTGTCAAACAATACAAATGTATAAAAAAAATAACCAAAATCTAGGATTCGGTTACTATTTTGCATGCATTTCCAGGGCTTAGGGTTAGTAACCAATCAAATGGACACAACTCTCAGCTCATACACTGTGTGTGACTCAAAGGTCAGTGCAATAAAGTTGTCAACTCTTGCCTATTGTTTGGGTCAACTCTACTGTACAGTCAAACCCTTAAAGCGCACCCAAAATATGGTTCACGTGAATTGCGTTCACTTGAGTTGACACTGACTCATACGGATGTTGGAGTGACCCTTAATTACACTGCAATACATGTTATATATTACTGTATTTTAGTATTAAACTGCAATTCAGTGAACAAATCAGCGTTTGATTGAGTCAAAGTTCAAGTTTTCAAAAGTACGGTATACTTAAGGTAAGTGTTTGATGAAGTTTATTGACTAATTAATAATTAATACTGCAATCAATAATGAGATGCATTCAATGCACTCAAACAAAGACTATTCATAATCAATGAACTAAATTAAAGTGTCATTTAATAAAACGTTAATTTTTTTAAGTCATTTATAGCGTAGCCCTGTATTTAGTAATGCGTATAACTTATCGGGATTTGAGTGTAGTTTTCGTCACTTTTTATTGCTGTGCGAGCGTTGAGTGCAACCCATAAATGGGTAGTCGTGTGAAAGTGTCCCTCCATTGCGATAATAGCGTTGATTGTATGCAAACGTTGTGCACATTATTTGTGTCCCACTTTTGAATTGTTATCAAAACGAAACGGTTTTTGAGTTTTTCAAATGTTTTTAAATTTTTTCAAACAAAACAATCACTTAATTATTNAATGTTTTTAAATTTTTTCAAACAAAACAATCACTTAATTATTACTAAATCTAATTATTAATAATAATAATCATTTTAATCGTGTTTTAAATTTAGTTATCACTTAATTGTAAATATATTTACTAATCGTTTACTAACTGTTGTCCCGAAACCCAAGTCTTTGAGAGACTGTTTGTAAGTCTTAACCAAATTTTTTATAACAATTTGTTTGCAAAATGATTGAAATGATGGTTAAATTGAATGCTTTTTTATTTGCAATTGAATTACATATGTATTTCAGACTAGACTTTATGGGTATATAATTATAGGTTAATTAGATTGGGTTTTGCCAACACTGGGCTCAACCCGAGTAGTGTCGGGTCGAGTTGTGCCCAACCATTGCTTGAATGCATTGTTATGTAATATAATTGTCTGAATTAAGCCCATTGTCGACGATGTGAACCAATATAAGCAAACTGACTGTTAATGTCAAACACATGTTAATGATTAGTATTTAGAGATGATTTGATTGTCACTTACTGTAGGCATATAGAGACCAATTGGGATGAGAGCCACACTCAGACCTCTGCCCAGGTTTGTGATAATGACTGTTAATGTCAAACACATGTTAATGATTAGTATTTAGAGATGATTTGATTGTCACTTACTGTAGGCATATAGAGACCAATTGGGATGAGAGCCACACTCAGACCTCTGCCCAGGTTTGTGATAATTGTGTGCATTTTGGTCGCCGTTTGCATTCTCTTGAGTCTCTCGTTTGAGTGCATCTGAAAGGAGTTGTTATCAATTGTTAGTTATAATTGAGACCATAATTGTCTAATGAATACCTGAACTATAGTTAAGTTAACGATTGCCGTCAGAAACGGCAGAACAAAGTAGGGATCCGTTTGTGTCAAGTCTTGAAACCATAGAATCCCTTCGGAAGACAATTGGCTGTAAACGAGTTGTGCCTTCGGGTCAGACATTGCGTTCACGAAAGACATCTGTCGTATTGAATGCGAGACTATAATCCAAATCGGGATTTGAAACCAAACTACAATCGAGGCCTTCATTGGATGACAATTGTCTCTAATTATCAATCGTTTCACTTCTTGTTTCATCTGATATAAGAAAGAATCCATTAGAGAGAGAGAGTGAATGAGAGAGAGAACAGACCCGATATGTGTGCATAAGTCTGGCCTTAAGTGGTGTCCAATTGAGGAGATACTGGGCTGAGTCGACCTCCTTCTTGAGCTGATGAGCGAAATGACTGATCTCTGGTTTGAGAGCTTCATATTTGGCCAAAATGTTGTGTTGACTAATACTTAAGGGGAATGTAATGAGTGTTCGGATGGCGGCTGTCATGAGCGCTATCTCCAGACTCCACGACATTCCCGACCACTCGTGAAATAGGATGAGATTGTCTTTGGTTTGGTTGACAACACCGGAGTTCGCTATCTTCTGATGAACGGCCAGAAAACCAAAATCAAATGAATTGGCGTTTAAATGCCTTTTCATCACAAGTCCATTGAATTTGCATTTATTGCACAAAAGTTTACATAAATTTCTATTCATTTTAATTCACTTTTTAAACACAATTAATTACAATCAAAAAAATTTTTATTTAAACTTTTCTCACATGATTTAAATGAGGTATAAATTACGGTCAAAATGTGTATATAGTGTCCACTTTTATCCACTTTATTATTCAAACAAATGTTTGTTTTTGTGATAACAGAGTATCACATGAATAGCACATCAAATGGGGTTTCAGTTTGTTTTATACCGTAAATAACGTATTGATAAATGAGACCAAAAATGTATTGACAATACTATAGGGGAGAGGATATACAGAGAGACATACTTTATAGTGAAAGGGTTGGCGCCAAATGTGTTGACCACAAGGCGTGGGTTTGGGTTCACAACTCTTCACCTCTTTATCGCAATTTGCAAACCATTTTATACCCAAAAAAGCATTGAATTTAATTCAATTTGATTCAGTTTTGCACTAATTTAGTGAGTTTTTAATGATTGCATATTCTGTCGATCATTGCATGATGTGATCTATTAAAACACATTTTAATTATATATTTGATGGCATGTATTAATTGATTTTCTATATTTTCATTTTGTTGAGAAGAAGGTATGGCCGGAAGAGGCAAAAGGCTTTTGGAGAATCTCCAGAAAGTGAAGGAAACGACCGATGATAAGCCGGAGGGCGGAGATAAGGCTAGCGGTGCGTCCGCTCCCATCCCCGTTGTGCCGACTGTCGGTCGCGGAAGAGGCAAATTCCTGTCCAATTTGCCGCCACCCGTCGGACGCACACAATCGCCGCCGCGAACCGAGTCGTCCTCCAGTTCGTCGTCGGGACAGCCGTCGCCTTCGGGTCCGGTCGGGTCTCCACCCGAAGGAGGAATCGCTAGTCTGACTATCGATGACGACGAACCCGTCCGTATGGCTCCGCAAGAGCCCGACTCTATCGCCAACAAACAGCGCGGAACTGATGGCAATTCCATTAATTTGATTCTCAATTACATCAAACTGAAGAAAGAGAGCCAGAGCATTGGGATCTTTGAATATCACATCTATTTCAAGCCTCAAATCGATTCGCGACAGTTGAGGGCAAAGATCTTAAAGCAGACAGAAGTGGCCGAAAAGATAGGACCCGTCTATCAGTTCACGGGAATGAATCTCTTTCTCAATCACAAAGTGGAGGACCAGACCATTGACACGACGACACCGATCGACGGGTCGGCCATCAAAGTGGAGCTGCAGTTCGTGAAGATCCCGCCCGCGAATGAATTGATGCCGTTTTACAACACAATTATACGGAAGATATTTCGCGCCTTAAAACTGGTGCAAATCCAGCGCCACTATTACGACCCGTTGGCCAAAATAGAGGTCCCGCAGCATAAGCTGGAGATATGGCCCGGTTGGGCGCAGGCCGTGCAAGAACTCGATGACGGACTGCTGCTGGTCTGCGACGCTTCCCATCGACTGCTTCGCACGTCGACCGCCAGAGATGTGCTCCAAGACCTGTTCAGAACTCCCGATGGAAAGCAGCGCTTCAAAGAGTACGCCCAGAAACGACTGGTTGGCTGTATTGTGTTGACCCGTTATAACAACAAACCCTATCGCGTGGATGACATCGACTTCTCGCAGAATCCAATGTCCACTTTTGATTGGAACGGAACTCCAGTCACTTATGTTGAGTACTTCAAGAAGTCGTGGCAGGTGGACATCAAAGACCTGAAGCAGCCATTGCTGGTCCACAGACCCAAACCTCGCAGAGGAGAAGAGGCGTCAGTGAGTGTCTAATCATAACCTTTGCGCCCAAACCTTGTTTTGATTGTATTTGTTTTTTGTCCCCAAAAGGATATGCAGATGATATGTCTCATCCCAGAGATCTGTTATATGACTGGTCTGACTGACGACATACGTGCGGACAACCGAGTGATGCGAGACATCGCATCGCATACACGTATCAAACCGACCATAAGAATGGCTAAACTCCAAGAGTTTATAGACAATGTCCGCAACAATCCAAATGCCCGAAAGTTTTTAACCGATTGGGGTTTGGATATGGACGACAAGCCATACCACACTCAGGGCCGCACTATGATGGCCGACAAGATCGTGTTGGGCAACGGGCATACGGTGCCCGTCGGACCCAAGGCTGACTGGGCCCGCGATGCCACTAATAACGCTCTCTTCCACACAATCAATATCAACAAATGGGTGATTGTGTTCACACAGAGAGACGCCGCCAAAGTGGACGAATTTGTCAAGACATTGAAGGCCGTCACCCGAATGATGGGCTTTACGTTCGGCGATCCCGACAAACTCGTGGCCAACAATGATATGCCCGCGAGTTATATCAATGCCATCAAAGGTGCCAACGTATCGCAGGCACAGATCATAGTCTGCATGACTCCGGGATCTTCTCAACGCGAGGACCGCTACAACGCAATCAAACGATTGTGTTATTGTGAGCTCGGAATGCCTAACCAAGTGGTCAGAGCCAACACATTGTCCGACGCGAAGATGCGCTCCGTTTGTCAGAAGATCGCAATCCAGATGTCGTGCAAAGTCGGTGGTCAGCCGTGGGCTCTACCGATTCCCTTCAAGTCGTGTATGATTGTAGGCATTGATGTCTATCACGACCCGACACAGAAGGGAAAGTCGTGCGTCGGAATGGTTGCGTCCGTCAATCAGGCGGTCAGCCAATGGTATTCGCGCGTATTCTTCCAGAACGCGCACACAGAGATCGTCAATACCATTGAGTCGGGAATTGTTGCGTGCCTTAAGAAGTTCTATGAGGTGAACAACAGTCTCCCGCAGCGAATCTTCGTCTATAGGGACGGTGTCAGTGACGGACAGTTACACACCGTCTATAACTTTGAAGTTCAGCAACTGATGAATTCAGTGCTCGACTTTGGCAAAGCGTTCAACAATTACGAGCCACAGGTGTCGTACGTTGTCGTCCAGAAGCGCATTAACGCCAAACTGATGATGAAGAGGGGCTCAGAGCTGGACAACCCTCCGCCCGGCTCTGTCGTCGACCACAGCATCACTCGAACCAATTATTACGACTTCTATTTGATCTCTCAATTTGTCACTCAGGGAACTGTCACTCCCACCCATTATATAGTGGTCTACGACACCAATCAGATGCCTCCCGACCGCATGCAAAAGTTGTCATACAAAATGACACATTTGTATTACAATTGGATCGGCACTATTCGAGTGCCCGCTCCCTGTCAGGTATCCATCAATTATCTGTTAATATCTATCATTATTGTCATTAATTATATTGTTTTGAATTGAATAGTACGCCCATAAGGCCGCATATATGGTCGGACAGGTGCTCAAGAAGTCACCGCCGGAATCGTTGGCATCAAATCCTTATTATCTCTAAAGATTGTCGAAACAATATTTACTTATTTTTTGTCATTTCGTATTTCGTTATTAATAACAATGATTTACTTCTCAAATTATTTTGTATTTTTGTCAACTCAAACACCACTTGTGTTCCTATAATACAGTCAATTATTTAACCACAATTCAGCCATGAATAATGTGGTCTATTTTTTTTATTGATTTTTACTGAAAATACGGACATTTATTGCATTCATAATTATTGTGTTTTGAAATTTGTTGTGTTTTTGAATTTAAAGACAATATTATTGTTTGAATTTTTGATAGAATGCTATTTCCGTTGAATTATTTTTTTTTCAATCATTCATAAAAATTGTTGTATATTTTACTACAGATTTATCATTTCTATTGTCATAACTACCAAAAAATACATTTAATTAACAATTTTATAATTGTAAGAATTTTATTCACAAATTTATTATTTCAATAGTAATTACATTTCAATTCAGATTAACATTTGATAAAATATTTTCAATTAAACATAAATATAATTATTTAGATATTAATGAAAGTCAAACATTTTGTTAATTACAAACATTTTCATTCATAAAAATAATTGTCATTTTAAACTATTATTAAACACAATTAATGTATTAAAAATTTCATTAATTGTATAATTAATAAAAAGTTAATTCTTGAATAAAAATATTTCATAAAAATATAGTTTGCGATAAAACATGAAAGAAAACTCAAACGTTATTTAAAATCTTTGGTCGAAAATAAAGATATTTTACCGAAAATTCTATTCATTGCTTAGAATTTGGAAAATATTTAATTAATAATCGATTTGTTTGTATTTTTGAGAATAAAATACAAAAAATCGCACATTTTATAAATTAATATAAATTAAAGCTTTAAATAATTGTCAAAAAATGCAATTCTCTATAGTTTGACATTAAATAGATTGCTGTTGTGTTGGCTTTTGCAGAGGGAAAGGCAAGTCTATAACTACTATACAATTAATTCAACATTGCTTTTGAAAACATCTTTTAGAAGTATTTTACAACAAAATAAACCAAATTTATAATTAATAATGAACTGCATTTGCAATCAAACCGATAACACGATTACAGTATAACGCACTGCAGACCGAAGGATAATATTTTCAAAAACCACTTTATAGTGAATTAACACTTTAGGTGTTAAACAGATTCACTAAACATAATGTCTATTCCAAGTGCTATCGAGAACTCGAGTGAACATCAAATTATTTGGCACTTAATATACAAAAAACAACTTTTCTCTGATAATAATGTTCAAAGTTTTTAAAGTCTGGCTTTCCTTCTGTTGACGCGCAGAGATTCGGGCAAATCATAGCAAATACAGACACAACAACCCGGGAATCGGAACCAATCGGCAAAAATGCCGCGACACTCGTTCTTGGGATCAAATGCGAGCAATCGATGTAAACGATACTGTTGTTCACATTTGCAACCGTCGCGGCAAAACATCTGCGACCCCTCGTAAGCGCATTTCTCCCAATGGATGTACTGTTCAAAGGGGTACACATTCAACAGCGCAAGTGTTTCGCCCCTCGTATTGTTGGCCCAATACGGGGCCACCACTTCCTCTTTGATGGGACACGCGTTCACACCTTTCTTGGGCTCCGAATCGTTTGGATCGGACTTTGTATCGGAAGTGGTTGTGGTCTGCGGTGTCGCCGAACTTATGTACATCTCTGCGATGGGAATATCGTTTGGTTCGTGATTTGTGTCGGAGGTAGTGGTCGGAGGGTTGGTCTCGAAGCGAGTGCTGTCTTCGGTTTCCGTTTCGATGTCAATGAACTCTGTGTCGAGAGAGGGCTTGTGTTCTGATTCGTTGGCTGTCGTCATGTTTTCAAGACTTTGATTCATAGCGTTTGGCGTTAAATGAATACTTGAATTGAATGACGAAAGAGTTGTTGCACTAGAAGTGGTTTGTGTGGAGTGATTGGAATCGGTGGCAGATCGGGGGCCAAACCCTATGTACTGATTCTGTGCTCTCCCTCTGCCGTAGAAATAGATGGAGTCGTACTTCTCTCGGGTCTCTTCGAGTTCAGCCCTGAGGATCTGACTCTGGCGTTGGTCGCCATACATACGTCTCATGAATCCCTGGTTCTCGAAGATATATCGCCGAACACTACTCCACGGATAAGCACTTCCCGGTTGAGCGCAGAAAGAGTTTTTACTCATATCGCACGGGATTTCCCTCATTAGTCGGGGACTCATTCGTGGGCCACAAGTCATTTGGCAGAGACAGTACTCGATGTGGATCCACATCAACACCAATAGCCGGTAATCCATTTGATTGACTGTTAGTCTGAAAGTCATTGGGATTTGCGTCAAAGTGAGGAAAAGTAAAGCAAACTTTTAGACAACTTTTACACTTTACACGTCTCTCTCAAACAGCGGACGGCGTTTCAGCCAAACGTGGGATTAATGGCACGACTTTGGCTCTGACTCTATGACACGCATCACAACCGGAATGCTATGCAATGGACTACTCGTGCATCTCATCCTATGAGTGCTATCAACCACTGTATGCACTACTGGGCCAACACTGGGCCACTCTATACCACTCTATGCCGCCTCTATAACCACGATATGCCAGACCCTCTGCCACCACTCAAACGCCAATAAGAATCCAAACAATCATTGAATCTGAAGTGCAATGAATGCAAAGATAGTTGAAATGCAAACAAATTGTGAATATATTATGAAATAAATGTGTCACTGAATGCATATCATTGTTCATAGAATTGAACAGTTATGGCCCAGTAGTACAACTGAGCGCTCTATACAACAGATACTGGAAAATGCATTTCAGTTGTTATCAACGATAATGAACTGAATTTCAGGTTCTAATGCCAGTCACCAACTGATACGGTCTTTACTTGGGATGGGGAGAGACACCAGATTAGGGGCACATCACCACCACATCACCAACACATCATCACCACTACATCCCATCCCATCACCTCTCTCTCCCTCTCTCTCGATATAACCAGTTTTGATCACTATTTGCTTTTCATAAACTCAAATGTCGTTTTCGTTCAAAACCAACACTACTCTACATTTTTAATATCATTTTTAATCAAATGTTTTATTCATGTTTTATCTTTATTGTAGATTTTAGTTATTGAATATTAATTAATTACTTTAACTCTTTCATAATTGTGCACTTATTTTCATCGATTTCTATCATCTTTTTAAATAACCTTTTTGTCTGAAATATAAACTTTTATTTATCTCATAGACTGCTAAGCATTGAGTTTAAGAACAGTTAAAATTGTTGTCAAACATCTCTTGGAAACCTTCACTCTTCACAACTCTAACACTTATCGTTCATATATTCTGTAAAATTCTGCTTATTTAGAGTCATATCTCTTCCGGTTCTAGAGTTTTTGTTTAACATTAGTATTCATATAATCCTCTCTTTTATTTTAATTTAATTTACATTTTAGTGTTAAATACGTTATTAAGTTTAATACGATATTAAATAAATTTATTTTCTCTGATTTTAACTGACAATTTTGAAATAAACAATTCCCTAAACAATTGAATTCAATATACAATACAGCACTTTATTATCAATACAATACATCTATACATGTACAGTATATGAGTCTAAATATTGTTTTTAAAGTTAACGTTCAAAAGCCTAAAAAGTTTAATCTACTAAATATTTCACTCATTTGGGAATTTGCACTGAATTTTGATAACAGACTCTATTAAACATACAGAGAGTCAATGCCATCAAAATAGCAGACTTTGTTTATTTTCAAATCTTTTCCTGTCTTTCCCTTTTCAGAGACCAAACGTGTCGTTAGTTGTTATCACAATATCTGAACACAATATCTAAACAAATGGAAAACTTCTTATTAGTCGCTCATCGGAAAGACGCGACACAAAGATAACACAGAATAAGCATAACTTAAGCATAACGTGAAGTTTAAGGTCAGATACACTCGTTTTGCATTTACATCAGTCATTCACGTCAGGGAAAGGCCGACAAGTTTAACAATCGCTGCCATTAGGTCTTCAGGTCATGGAAATTAAATAATCTCTCATTAATGGATATATTGTTATGCATATTATGTAAATGTATATTAACTTTATATCATTTGTTATATATTTATAACGTTTGAATAAAGCGAAGGGCATTTAAACAAAATCTAACCATTAATTTAAACCAGAAATATGCAAAGAATCAATTCTAAACCCATTATATTGTCAATACTTAAAACTATTACCGTATCGATTCAATTATACTGATAGCAATCTATTCATTGATTTCAGTCCTTGCAGAATATCTTTGTAAATTGTATTCATATGATATGGTATTAAAATAATGTCAACTTTGAATTAAACGTGTTATTATTATTTAGATATTAAATATTCATTTCAGTATTACGTAAAAAAATAATTAGAAATGTCATTAACGCTCACAATTGTCATCATTTAATAATAAATCAATGTTTATTATATACGTTTCAAGGCTTGAATAACAACTAATAATAAATTACTCAATGTTTAGATTGAATTCTTATGACTTAAAATATGGTTAAATTCCGTTTCTGTCTTTTGTCTGTAAATATATTTTAAGGCAAAACATATTTAGGTCTTCAAAAGTCCGGTAAACACATTGTATGAGACAATTGTATTGAAATATTTATCATAAACTGATTGATGGTTAAGATATAACATGAGATGATCTCTAAATCGGAATCATTTATATTGATTGAAAATAAGGTCAAGTTTTAAACATATTGGGAATATTAGGACAAAGTTTGGGCACAAATATAGTAAAAGTTTACAATATATGATAGATATTCTCGTAATAACCCGGATATACAGTGAATCCAAAACAAAAAAGTGAATTATCTAACGATAAATGCTTAATACATGTGATTATAATTGTGTGAAAATTATAGGCAAATATTTTTGAAAATATATTTTTGTTTTTCATGTTATAATAATTATGGTAACAATTATTCATACAATTATATCAATACTAAATGTCATTCATTTTTATCGCAAAATACGATTTATAAGCGTTTAATAAAACGACAATTAATTTAATTTCAATGAATGAAAGGCTTTACACAGACTTTCAATAGAGAGACACAAAAAAGTATTGCATAAAAAAAGTGATAACAAGTGGAGAGTCTGTGAAGTGTAGAGGCATTGAGTGATTGCACGCCTCGTGTGTAACGTATTGTACGGACGAATCGTTTGTGTTTTGTTTGAGTTTTGGTTTGCATTTCGTCTTCAAATGTAAACACAAATTGCATTGAAATCTCGTTTTTGACGACAATATGAACCAAAAAGGCCTCAAAAAGCCATTGAAACGCGATTTGAAACAGACATCCATTGAAGACTTCATTGTCAGGAAGAGGTATAACAACCACAACAACGACAACACGGATCACATCACACAACACACCGACCACTCTATGGACACACCGTTGGCCACCACTTCAGACACCACTTCAGACACCACTTCCCTCCGGCCACCATTAACAATTATCGCCCAAGTTTTTTGTGAAAATTTTTTTTGACAAATTTCCCGATGAAAATTACACCTAACCTTACCTAACCTAACCAAACCAAATATAACATAATATAAGTTAAGTTAGGTTATATTTAGTTAGGTTAGGTTAGGTTAGAAATTTTTCGGAAAAATATTTAAAGTCGAATATTTCGATAAGTATTCGACCCACATAGATTTAGATTCCAAATTCGTTTTCAGCGTTGAATTCTACATCGAAATCATATGAGACATAGATATATTTCGTTAAAAAATGCTTTTCGAACTAAAGTTCTAAGTCGAATAACTCGAAAAATATTCGACATAGAACATTTTTGTTTTCATATTCGTTTTTAGCGTTGAATTTTACATTAAAATAAATTACTAAAATCGTGGGCGATAATTGTTAATGGTGGCCCTTCCCTCCACACCAATGACACACACATGGAGTCGACCGCCGGAACCGATGACAACGAGACGATAGGTCTAATAGAACTGAGCGATTGGTCCCAAACCAGTGATATATCGGAAGTACCCGAAACGCCGCCGCAGATGATTGTCCACCACTTGTCTGACTCCGAAGACGACGACATCGAAGACATGGAAGAGATGTTTGGGTTGAACCGAATGCCCGACTGTTTGCTTCCGATGTCTTCGTCTTCATTGAGAAGCGATTGCAAACATCATGTCTTATATAGAGTTCCCATCGAAGGTCTGATGACATTAGTTCCCAAACCATATCCGGACACCTATTCAGACAAATGGGACTCAAGACACGTGAAAATGCCAAACAGTCCTCACAATCAGATAACGGCTGTTCAGACGGTCGACGACCGGGAAGTGAAGACACAACTCTGCAAATGGGAGTTAATTCAGGAAAACCTATTGTCAGACATCAAGTCATTTGAACAGTTGGAAGAAGCGATTAAGACATACAACCCTTTTATGGAAAGACATGGTTTCGATGTCTTGTATGAGTTCTTTAATGATAACTGCACTGAAGAGGAGAGAAAACAATTCTTTGACGACATTTTGCCGCAAATGATTCAATTAGCGCTTCGATTGCCGCAAATTGTCACTCAATCGGTTCCGCTGTTAAGGCAAAGACATAACTCGACGTTATTCTTAAGTCAAGAGCAAATCGCATGTCTTTTGGCGAACGCTTTCTTCTGTACTTTCCCTAAAAGAAGTGAATTCAACAAAGAATACAAAACTTATCCAATTATTAACTTTTTGGGGTATTTTTGACATAATTGTGACAATTATTAAATGTATTAATTGTTTGTTTATAACAATAGATTGTTTTCGAGTTTCGGTTCTTCTAAATACAGCAAATCCAACACCAAAATAGAGAAACTCAAGTGTTTTGTCAATTACTTTCGAAGAGTCACTAAAGAGATGCCCAAAGGAGTCGTCAGTTTCGAGAGGAGATCACTAATGGAAGAAGAAGTGCCCGTTTGGCACAACTCTAACAAATCGATCCACAAATTGGTTGTATTGAAGAATGGCTTCATAGAGACGGAAGGCGAGGGTCTATTACAAGTGGATTTCGCCAATCGGTTCTTAGGCGGAGGTGTTCTCAGGAAGGGCTGCGTTCAAGAAGAGATCCGATTTGCCATTTGTCCCGAACTATTGATTTCTCGATTGTTTACCGAAGAATTGCTTAACAATGAAGCGGTTATTATTAGCGGTTGCGAACAATTCAGCACTTATTCTGGTTATGCAAACACTTTTGAATGGACTAACGATTACAAAGACAACACCTCTTATGATGAGTGGGGCCGTCGGTTGACACGAGTCGTGGCCATCGATGCCATTCGTTTTGAGAGTCGCCAAAAGCTCACGCAATACGAGACCCAAAGGTTTGAACGCGAACTCAATAAAGCGTTTTCCGGATTTCTTGACCGAAGAGATTGCGATCCGAAACACAAGTGTGGCATCGCTTCTGGCAATTGGGGCTGCGGTGCATATAATGGCGATCCAAACCTTAAAGCCATTATTCAACTGATGGCCGCTTCGCAAGCGGACAGAGATTTAGTGTATTTTACTTTCAATGACAATGAATTGAAAAAACGTTTGAAAAAGTTTTACAATTTTATAATTAGTAATGACTTTAAAGTAAGACATCTTCACAAAGCATTACTATTATATCAACAAACCATTGATTTTTCTAAATTTAAACCTAAAATCACAACTAATTTATTAGATTTTATTATGTCGTCAAAGAATTTAATTTTTTAGACATAATAACATGAATTTCAAAATTTTTAATACTGTATATAATATTGTATTTATTTTTAATGTGTTATTTGTTTAAATTATAGAAATTTATAATCTGTTGAAAAAATAATTTATTTTTTATAATAAAGAATACAATATTTTAAATCAAATCAATTGAGTAATTGTGTGTAATTCGGAGACAACAGTTGAGTTGTCTATATTTGTGATCAAATACACACACTATAGAAATGTAATTCTGGTAAACATGTAAGTCATGTGAATAGACTGAATGTGTTTATGTGTTTGATTAGAAATTAGTCACAAATTAGGTGATCAGTAAACTTAACAATATTCATATGTCGTGCTATTGAATGAACCGCCGATTAAAATATATTTAAACAAAAATTATAATAAAAATAATGGAAATTGTTTTTTTTAAATAACGGTTTAATTAAATCAAAGCAGATATTCTTCAGGAGTACAGACATAACTTCAGGAATTATTAAAATTTTTTATTTATTTAACGTAAATATAATCAAAATAATTCATTTTTGAAGACTGTTTATAGACTAAAATAATATTCATTAAAACCATTCTTCGAAAGAATTCTTAATTAAATAATTACAGAATAAGTGTTGATATCATATATTAAAATATTTCACAATAAAATCACATCATTTTGCAATTGAATGCAATTTTGCATAAAAAGTGTTTACAATTCAAATAAATGAGACAAAAGTTTGATTTTTAATTCAAAAGACTTTATTTGGTTTTACAGTATTTACAAAAAACTAATTTTGATATAAATTGCAAAGTCTTTGAATCGAAACACTGAGTCTTTGGAGAGGAGAGACATCTCATTCTTCTTCACTTCCAGAGCGCGATCTCCTTCTCCTTCTGCGTCTTCGGCCGCCCTTCGAGTGACCGCGTCTTCGGTGTCGACGACCAGAACGGGAACGACGTCTGTGTCTTCCGCCCGAACGGCTTCGACGCCGGCGTCGGCTCTCAATCACTTCACCGCCCGATCGCAGCGGAGATGTCGTCTCTTCTTCGGAATCGATTTCAACGATTGCTTTCATTTTTGACTCAAAATTTTGTTGATATTTACAAAAATTCAAATTTTCCTAACGATTGACTGATTTTTGAAATGACTTCTCTTTATATACCCCTTAAACACAACAATACATTGAAACCATATTTCTTGCGATTGAGTGAACCGTTGATTAAAATATATATAAATTGAATTCAAATTATGTTAAATATAACGGAAATTATCTAAAATTAACGGAATTTTAAAAAATATACGAATTTCTCATTTTTGAACCAAAATCTGAGGTATTCTTCTGGTGTGAAGACATTAATTAAATTTGAGATTTTATTGAATTTTAAGACAAAATCATAGATTCATTGATTAACAACATATTTCTTGTAATACATGAAAATAATTGGACTTTAATTACAGTCAAAAAATATTTATTAAACCCTTTTTTCAGTGTTTAAGGAATACTTTCTATTATTATCTTAAATAAGACAAGTCTTGAGTAAAATTAAAATCTTATTTAAAAATACAGACAAACTATTAAAACACTAATTAATTTGCAATTTTTTCATATATTGTAAATATAATCATTGGGTCTATATTTGGACACGATTTTTACCAAAAAATGTATTTAATAAAAAGTGTTAAAAATTAAGTAAATGAGACAAAAGTTTGATTTTTAATTCAAAAGACTTTATTTGGTTTTATTTACAAAAGAAACTAATTTTGATATAAAATGCAAAGTCTTTGAATAGAAACTGAGAGTCTTTGGAGAGGAGAGACATCTCATTCCTCTTCACTTCCAGAGCGCGATCTCCTTCTCCTTCTGCGTCTTCGGCCGCCCTTCGAGTGACCGCGTCTTCGGTGTCGACGACCAGAACGGGAACGA